TAAAATCCGGGTCTCCAAGTCTTCAAGCCTTCAGATCTCCGAGTTGAGGTGACAATCCGGCAGAGTTTCAACTCTCTCAAAAGTTTCAGAAGAAGTCCCTCAAATGAACAACCACCCCCCCTATTTATAGCCTCTCTGAACTGTGCCTTTGTGCACAAGAGAGAGAGGGGGGGGAGTCGGGCCACCTGAGGGTGGCTCGGCTCATGCCGAGCCACCCTGGGGTGGCTCGGCTTTGGCCGAGCCACCTCAGGGTGGCTCGGCCTTGGCCGAGCCACCCTGGGGGGAGTCGGGCCACCTGAGGGTGGCTCGGCTCATGTCGAGCCACCCTGAGGTGGCTCGGCCTTGGCCGAGCCACCCTAGGGTGGCTCGGCCTTAGCCGAGCCACCCTGGGGTGGCTCGGCTTGGGCCGAGCCACCCCGGGTTGGCTCGGTTTAGGCCGAGTCCCCGGGTGTGTTCCGTTTCGCCGTTTTCCGGTGTTTTCCGTCTTTCAGTTCTTCGTTTGATTCGTCCGGACTTTGATTTGATAGCCCGGGTCTTTATTTGGCAGTATTTCCGCCTCGGTGTTTGAGTACAAATCTATTTTGTCGTTGGACGACTCGTTGACTTTCCGAACTGTTGGATTGGTTCCACAGGCGAACATATGCCGTTGTTTGTGTGCTTTATCGCCTCGTCGCTCGAACATCCGTTAATTTGTCGAACCATGATTGCCCCTACCCCTTGTCAGTGTAACGGGACCTGGAATGACCTTCGTTCTGTATTCCTTCAATCCCTCAGGTCATTCAGTGCTTCGTAGAATGCCTGTATGGGTTCCGGTGCTGCATTTATTGTCTGACCGTTGTTGGAATTTGAACTTGAAGTCGATTCCTGATTTTCCAATCTTTAACTCGTGTTGGTTGGTTCGACGTGCAACTAACGCTCGATTGTCGGTGTTGAATCCTCACTTGTGACACGTTGTCCGACGTCGTGTTATTGAGTTATCCTTAAGAATATTTTTAGAAAAATATTCTCCAGGAACTTCTCAACAACAATAGGAAATAGTTTATACTCGTATACCTTATTGGAGTATTTCCGTGCTCAAAATAAGCTGAACCGGCTTGAAAATGAGCCAAAAAAAGGCAGTAATTTGGCTCAAAAAATTTCTTCCGTTCCTTCCGAATGTGTGGGAGAGACAGGAATAAACCAAGGATGGGACCCTTAGTTGATTTGAAGTCGTCTCGACGCTTAATTCAGTCTCTTTTGAACTGATTTGGATTGGTCCGGTTCGGTTCAACTTGGCCCGGTCCGGTTCACCTTGGTCCACATTATAAAAGGGGGTCTCTTTTCCTCTTTTTCTCTCTTTTTCTTCTCCTCTCTAGGGCCGGCCCCCCCTCATCCCTATTTTTGATTTTTCTTTTCCCTCGAGCGTCCTTTCGCCATCAAACACTGTAGCTACAGTGTTAATACCCACTTTAAAGTACCCTTTTCTCTTTTCTCTCTCTTCTTAAACCCTTTCTTTATCTCCCCTCAAATCCCTAATTTGAGAGCTGGAGATCAAAAAATAAAATCGCTGCTGCGATTTTCAAAGGGATTAAACGCTGCTGCGTTAAGGGGCTTCGCCACCGCCGCCAGAGAAAAGTCGGGGGAGAGAGCAGCAGGAGCTAGGGCATCGGGGGGGGTAGCCGAAGTTGATGGGCTGGCGACAGCCTGTCGCCAGCGGTGCAGCGGACGCGATGGTGGGGGTCGCTCGAACGCGAGGGTCGACGAGCTTGAACGCGCGGGTCAGGTCGTTCACACCGAGGGTCGCGTTCGTCGAGCGAGGGTCGCGTTCGCCCAAAGCCACCATCGCGTTCGTCGTCGAATTCGCTGAGTCGACGCTCGCCTGCTCCAACCTGGAGCTCGTCGGAGCTTCGCCGGAGCTCCTCATCGTCGTCGGAGGTTGGTATCCACCCTCAACCTAACAGTTTTCTTGTGAGATAATAACCGGAGAATTAGTCATACAAATAATTCAATGTGAAACGACCATTATGTCGACCAGTGGCAGATCTAGAAAAATTGTCTTGGGAGGGCGGAAGCGAATAGAGGGTTTTGTAATGGGCTTGGGGTGTTAGTGTTTGTTTGGGTTGTTAGTGTTCGGACCGACGTGGTTTGATCAGTTGAGCAGTTAAATGAGCTACTAGTTTCAAATGAGTTAAATCTAGAGGGGCTATCAAATTCTTTGTGAGTATACAAGGACCGAAGGTGCGAATAGTTTAAAAATTGGTGCCAGATTTTAATTTTGCAAGGGCTAAAATGATAATATTAGAACTTTTAGGGATGCAATTTCCCTTCATGGGCACCACATAGATCCACCCATGATGCTAACCGAGTGCAAAATATGGGCAGTCCAAGATATCTACGGTGTAAGTGAATGGGTTCCAAGGCAGCGATGAATCTTATAATAATCACTTCGATGGGTAGAAATTAGCAACTAATCCAGATAAAGATGATATATATTTAGCCGATGGGTAACGAATAGCCCTTATGATATTTAACTTTAATGTGGTATTATCGATATGAAAGCGAAACCGTTGTCTGCCAATCTTGTGGAGGATAAGCAACCATTAGTTGGGCATTATTGGGAATTTTTAAGCTGATAGCTAACAAATACTCGTACATCCAGCCCTTAGCAGCAGAGTTCAATGCCTAACGTGATCACGAAAGCCAGCATTTCTGGACATTACTATAGCCCACCGGCTTCCAACAATTTTGGCCACCGATTAAAGATAGAGGTTTGCTTTGGTGCTCCGAAAATAGCTCTTTTTCAAATTTTTAAATTGACAAAAATAAAAAATTAGTTAAGATAAGAAAAGGATATTTTAGTCTTTCCAAATTCTTATCTAATTGCTTTATATCCTGAAAGCTTCCGTTGCTTCTTCCCTTTCTCATCGTCAATCTCTTCCTCTCAAATTTTTTTTTTCTGCCATTGACGCTCGTGTTCGCTAATTCCTGTAACATTCTGTTACTATTTTAAAAGGGAAAAAACGAAGTGTTTGCTAATTCCTACTTCTCATACTTCTACTCCTGTAACATTTTGGAGGGTACCTTTCATATGTCGAACCCCTGTAACATTAGAAAAAACGAATGTTACAGGGTTTCAACTCCAAAAATTCGTTTTTATTTTAATATAGAAAAAAACGAATGCTTACTATAAAATCTTTTAAGAAGGAAAAAAAAGAGGGTACCTTTCATGACCTTCTTTTCAGGAGAATTTTTGGAGGCGGTTTTTTTCTAATGGAAAGTGTGGAGATAACGCGGTAAAATTATAACTTGAAATATTAGTTAATTGAAGAATTCTAACTAATAATAAATTCTGTTTCTCCCCTAAATTATATTTCCTAAAATAACATTTTTACCTAATGTTAATTACAATTTTGGGTGTGAAACACCTCATAACCGTCAAATCTATCTACCTAGAATTGTGAGAGCTATTTTTAAGGAATTTATTTATGGATTTGTCATCATTGCTCCAACTAATCTCTATGGAGCACCGAAGCTGTAGGCTTAAAGATAACAATAACTAAAATCCAAATTGATGGAGAAATAAATCAAATGAGCATCCTAACAAACTAACAACTTCAATGCCTAAATAACAACTTCACTCTAAGCAAATATCTAAAATTAGATCCTTCACAGACCAAAAAAAAAGAAAAAGTCCTTGCTTCTAATCGATCATGAGTCAATGGTGGAATTACTAATCCCAAGAAATTATTCCGTTCCTATTGCAGAATTCACTTGTAAAAAAGAATAACTGTTATTCACAATCATGTTAATTTATGATGACAATTGAAATTAAGAGTCTAGATATTCTCATGAAAATTTATATATCCTGCAGCAGAACTAAAAATTACGAGTGCGCTCCACGGAAAAAAAAAAATTCACTGCTAGCAACAGAATATAAAAGCTATTTAAAATTCTCTACTCCACATTAATTCTTCATGCTAGTGCGTAACAAGATTGTGACGCAGAGGATCGATGATGTTATTGCATGTGGTGAATAAATTTAATGAAGGGAAAAAAAAAATTAACGAACAAGAAAAAAAAAGAAGAGCAAATTAAAACGCACACATACATGTACCTTGGCTAGTATAAACTCTCAACGAATCTAGACTGAAGATGGCTCCTCATGTCGCCATCCAGTTCTAGAGTATCCTCCCACCACCCTCTCCGGGCCTCTATCTTCTTAAGCCTGCTGCAGGAGGCAGGCGTGTCACAGTATGAGACCAGCAAATGCTCCAGACGGGGTAGACTAACCGCCCTGTCGTTACAAATGCTCTTCAGCTCCGGCAGAGTTTGCAGCCGTAGAGTTCTGAGAGCGGGGAAGATAGCCGGTGGAATTAGCCGCGATGGTGCCTGACGTTCGTGCTCCATCTCCCTCGCTTCTTCTTCTTCTTCTTCCCCCCGAATCACGTGCTCCATACGTTTACACCAACGAACATCCAGAACCGCAAGGAGTGGTAGATTGAGAAGCCAGCTCAGATGTTTTAGCTTGTGGCAGTTTACAATAGAAACGGAAGCCAGCATGTTGAGAGAAGCTGCACCCCTGTCCTTCACCCCCTTCCATACAATCTCCTCTAAATGGTTGAGTCCACCGACAGCGAGACGCTTGGGGAAACAGCCGTCGCTCTCGTCAACGACCAGTGTTTTGACCACCGGCTGATCGCTCTTGTCAACGACCAATGCTTGGACCGGCTGTCTCCGGTCCGGATAGCCCAACGCGTCCCACCACCCCCAGGTGTATCATGTTCGACCACGTGGGATCGCGAGGGTGTTTCCGGCGCGGCAGCAGATCGAGAGAGGGTCCTGTTTCGTACTCGGTGATCCATCTCACGAGCCTAGTAATGGGCACCGACAGCTCGCCCAGCTTGTCGATGTCCCGCCGTGAGCACGCGTTAATGCCGAGACCCTTCAGCCTTCCTTTCAGACCATCCAGATTGTTGTTTATAATTGAACCTTGTGAAATCTTCTTGAGGGAGGAAGATAAATCCAGCACCTCCAAGCTATCCATGCTAGAAAACAGTTCCCTGGGTGCCTCGGAGATGGCTGTATTACTTAGAAGCAAGTACTTTAACCTCTTGAGATCTTCTAGTTCCCGAGGAAGGCTACTGATACTTAAATTAGCTGAAAGGTTCAGATATTCAAGCTTAGACAGACGGCATATCTCAACTGGAATGCCTCCTAGAACATTGGAGGAGAGGTCTAGGAATGTAAGGTTACGGAAATTTTGGATGCTTCCAAGACCATAGCTCAAAAGACCGATACCGCAGTAATCGATGACCAAGGTGACAAGGTTGGGAGCACTGATGTCGGGCGGCAATCTTTGCAGCCAGAGGTTATACATAAGCGATATTTTATGGGCCTCCCTCCACAACATTTTATCCCGTAGTGCCTCATCAGACGCGCCGTCGACGCCTGAAAGCACCACCCACTTCTTCCCCTTTCCCCCGCTCGCAACCCATAGAGCCATGTCCCTGATAAGATCATGAAGCCTCACCACGCCTCGCAAATATTCGTCTTCAGAGTACTCCAATAAGCTCGCCTTATGCAGTCCATCTACTATCTCGTACCCATTGGCATAAGCCTCCTCCATGTTGTTGAAATCGCCTAGTAAGCCGTGGCCCATCCAGCATTCTATAATGACATCTTCGGGGATTTCAAAGTCTTCAGGCCACAAGGCACAGAGAAGGAGACACTCTTGCCACGCAGGGTTTTGCAAGTAGTCGTAGCTAACTTTTAAAAGTGAAAGAGGGTCATCTTTTCTACCTGATATCATCTTTGAGGCACGGAGGTCATTTAAGGCCTTTCCCCACAGCTCTGGCCTAGACTTCCCAGCCATGGCGAGGGTGGCAATAAGGCCATTGAAGGCGCACACTCGTTGGGAATCTTTTGTCGCGAGATCGAATCAAGGATGAGAGCTTATGAATCCTTCGCGACCTTCTTCCGAAATGACGACGGGCTTTGTGAGTAGCAAGACACGCTCTCGATAGATCCGCACCCATGCGAGGCAGACCTGACGGTACTTGTCGTCGAGTGAGCTTGTGCTTTGAGCTCGCACGAACGGCGACGCGGTGGAGGCCTACTTGCTTTAGATCGCAGACTCTCATAGTATCTAAGTAACAACCAAGCTCCTTTTTATTCAGGAAGTTGCAAGATGTTGGTTCGTGATCTCCAACCTTCAAGAAGTGCACCTATTGCTAGCTGCTTATTGAATCTGTCATGACGGGTGAGCCTCTCGAGCAATTATACGTAAACACGCGATAGATAACGATCGACGGCGTTCGACGTCCGCCAAAGCGTTGCTTGAGTGCGAAGGACGGTAGTCTTTCCCGACCACCATTCCCCAGATGCCGAGCACGCATGGTTATCATTTCTGAGGAAGTTGAGCGCCTTGTCGACTTTTGCCGATGCTCCGCTCCAGTGTCCGACCGAGGGCTGCGGTGGACTTCTGCGCGCGGGCGGCGAGGAGGGTATTCGGTGGGTG